AAAATGGCTGCACACAGGAACAAACGACAAACGGGTATTAACACTACGGCGGACACGAACAGAGAGCGAGACGGTGCCGGCGACATTTTCCACGAAGGCTAGGGCCGCCGGACACCACAAAATGAAGATAAATGTCTCAGTGCCACCACACAAAACCAAAAAACACGAGAACTTATGAAACTTTGTGGCACTGAGAACATGACTTTTACTTTTACAAAAACATAACCGAAAACCTTTGAAAACGTGGAAATAACGACACTTTCATGCGATGATAACAGCGCGATTGCGTAACCGGCCGGTCGCACACGGAGGCTTATCGCCGCCGCCGACGAGGGCCTCAGATAAGCAACGCACCGCTACGCATCGCACGAAAATGACAACATAAATGACAAACAAATGAATTAATACAACATAAAAATAAAACATAATATAGACACTACATTCAAACTCAAACAACCTAGATGTAATTATTTTTTTTTAAGCATTTTTTCTACATATCATACCAAATACATACAAATATATAATATTTAGATTTTTAAATTGTCTTATAAGGTTTCAAGCATAAATAAAAAAATAACAAATTAATAATACATAGTGAAATAAGAATATTTTATAACATTGTTTTTTTTTTCTTCCGTCCGAATTATAAATATTTATAATAATACCTACTATGCGCAAAAATGTATGACATTTTATAACAATATTAGTAGTAACTTGAAAATAACAAAATAGATTTTTATAATTAATTTGAAAACACTAAGAATACATGTTTTGAACGACCTCGAATAATGTATGATTTGTAATAATCTACTTTTTATCGACGGAGTACTATAATACTTAACATAATTTTAATTTATCAGACTAATTATATAAATATTACGAATTCAGATGAATATTTTTTTAAAACTGATTGAAAAAATCCTCCCATGAGAAGAAACTGTAATAAGTAGCTATTTCTTTATTTATTTAATAATACAGGTAAGTATCACAATAGTAACAACTGTAATATAAATATAATAAGAGTTCAACTTAAATTAAGATTTAAAATTAGTAGAATACAATTTGATAAAAAAAAAAAACGAAAAAAAAAATAAACAAAAGGTAGAATATTATAAAAATAAAGAGAAATACGGTTATTTTTAGGAATTACAAATCATCCTTATTATGTGGACTGATTAGCAATATAATTTATACAGAACATACTAGGACAGGAAGGGGAAATATAACTATAGTGTGAGAAGAAAGAAACTTCTTCAAAATTAATATAAAGAAGGAGGGATAGAAAGTGAATGATTTTACCTGAAAGTTACTAATAAAACTCAAATTTACTTAAACTCTCATAATCTACCTATTTGTGTTAGAGGTTGTAAATCGAAAAATCTGTTCCTAGATTTGTTACTTGAATTCGACTGGTTCGGTTGAAAAGTTTAAAAACGGATGACTCCGATCCCCCTTAAACGTATCAAGTGTTGCGCCTACGAGATACATGTCAAATGATTCGTAAAAAAAAAAAAAGAATCAACTACACGCAAACCGTATAACAAAGCAATAAGTATTTTTCTATTGGAACGCTATCGGTACGGGCGTAAATATCCCTACGTGATTCGTCAATTGTAAAACAGTTACGCTTTACAATATACTGACTATGCCAGTAGGTACCCAATGTTAGGTAAATTACTTTTAAAAAATAATGAAATTACGTTACTCGTTACTTCAAATATTTTTATTCAAATTACATTTGCATTACCCAAAATAAATTTTATCACGTTACATTACTTTTTCATTAATAAAGTAATGCGTTACAAATAATGTTACTTTTATTATCTCTGATAACAGTTATCATTTTGTTTTAACCATACTGTGGGCCCCAAGTTAATCGTTTATCGATTATGATTCCTAGATATTTTACTTGCGATGTAATAGGAATATCAATACCTTGCAGATGAAGGGGTGGAGAGTTTTTTTTTTCTGAGTGTGAATGGAACATGAAAAGATTTGTTGGGGTTTATTTTGACTCGTTATCTAGTTGCCTAGGTACTTATTAAATCAAGTTAGTTTTGGAGAGAGCAGGAAGCTATATCAGGATCTATGTGGGAAGTAAGAATGGCTGTATAATCAGCATAAGTTGCGATAATTGTGTTAACTGTTATGGAAAAATCGGATGTATATATATTAAACAGATCAGAGGAGAGATCACTTCCTTGCGAAACTCCACAGTAAATATTGAAAAATATGGAGAGGTTGAGGTGCCTTGCCTAACTGAAAAAATTCGGTTGAGAAGATAAGAATGGATTAGCAAATATTATAGTGCTGGAAGGAATTTTTTTAACTTGTAAAGGAGACCATCATGCCATACACGATCAAATTCCTGGGCTAAATCTAGGAAAACTCCAGGGCAGTATTTTTTATTTTCAAAAGAGGCTGCAATTTTATCAGTGAGACGGTGGATTTGGTGTATTGTTGAGTGGTTAGTTCTGAAGCCAAATTATAAGTGAGGTATTATATTCTGAGATTTTATTATTGGTCTTATTCTTTACAAGATAATTTTTTCAAATATTTTTCCTAAAATAAAAAGAAAACTGATTGGCCTGTAAGAAGATATTAAATGTTTATATGAGGTTTGTGTACGAGAATTACTATAGAGAACTTCCATGTTAAAGGGAAATAAGAGAATCTTAACATGGAGTTGTAAATGAATGTGAGAAGAATAATTGTTTTATTTGGTAGATGTTTCACCATTTTGTTAGAAATTAGATCTATCCGGGTGATTTTCCTATTTTTAATTTATTAATTATTTGCTTAACTTAATTTGGAGAGGTGTGCTTTTCTGGGAGATTCATGGATAGTGGACTATTCAAAAAGTTATTTATTGTGTTCAGATATTGAGGATTTGGGTTTATGTTTGGGTGGGGAGTAAATATTTTTGAGAGATAATTTCCAAAATGATTGGCATAACCATTGTCTGATACAGCAAGTGCACCACTTGGATCAAAGGAGGAATTTGTTCTTTAATTTTGAACATATTTTTCGTGAATTTCCATAAGGAACAGTTTTTAGTATTAAGAGATTGATATTTTCCCTGAAAAAATTCAGATTTATAATTTTATATATTTTTTTTTTTTGGTCGAGTTAGATAAATTTTTATACATTTTTTTGTCGGATGGGTGGTTGTAACGTTGCCAACGTGAACAGGCCCTACGCTTTTTTAAAATTAATTCACGAATATAGGGAAGGAGAATGTTATTGTTTATTGAATTATTAGGTTTATTTATAGGATTTGATGAGTTGAAGACTGCGGTTTGTATTAATTTGGTCAGGTTTTGAACTGCCTCCTCTATTTAATCATTAGTTTAAGTGAGATATTTAAATTGGTGAGGTTTTCTAAATTTTTGGAGAAATGGTCCCAGTTGACAGGTCCTTTAGCTAAAGAAGGATGAGGAGGATTTTGAGTAGTCTTACCACTTATTTGCATAAATATCACATGTTGGATCATCTAAGTTTGTAATAGTAAAATAAATGTGTCTAGGGATTGAAGAAATAAAAAAATCTAAAATATTAAGATGTCTGTTTTGGTGTTTTGACCAATATGTAGGGCCTGGTAAGGGTATTACTGAACAATTTTTGTTTTGTATAATATTTTGAAACATATGACCTCTTGTGTTTTGAACTTGGCAACCCCATAGAAGGTGCTTTGCATTAAAATCTCCACCTATAAAAAAAGTTCGACCGAGAGAACTTAAAAATTGCTTTGTCTGCTGAAGGGAATATTCTAACCACGGTTAACGAACTATTGCATATCATATGGAAATATTTATGCAATGCAACGAAATTTGTGGAACCAATAAAGTTATTTATCCGACTGTTTATTGAACCATTTATCACAGCTTATTCAACTGTTTTTATTGATCGTTTGTGTAACGTAGCATGAGAATAGCATTAAAACTCGTGTGTTTTGTACAGCTAAAACGCGGTGAAATAGGCTTACCTTTATCCGTTCAAACCGAAGCAGTAGCGGTGATGGTATTTATCGCTTTTTAAATACCGCTGATCTAACCTAACCGGAGAGCGAAATATTTCGCCAAAAATTACTAGTCGATATTATGACACCCATGCGCGTACATGTATTTTAGTTATTATTATACTTTTATTTATTAATATTAATATTTTAAAGTACAAAACAACAAATAGCTATTAACTGTTCAACTTAATTGGTCGTTTTTTTTTATAAATAATACATTTTAAATAAGAGAATCATACATTCAAACATTACGACGTTAGATTCAACTGCAAGGTGTACGATTACGATAAATAGACATTTGTTTGAATATAAAGTCAAAATATATCATAAAATGTAATGATAAGCTTTCTATAGATATTAATTTATTAATAATAAAATGTAGATAACTCATAGTTGAGAATTTACAACTGATTATCACAGCAGTAAGCGAAAAATATAGTGTCTGCAGCGAAAAATAAAAATATAGCACTCAATCTTGCGGTAACATATTCGCCGCGGTTTTAATATCGCGATAGTGAGTACATTCATATTAAAAAGTATGAACATTAAATTTCGCTACCGCTAACGCTTCGGTTTGAGCGAACCTTTAGTATGTTACGTTTATACAGGTTAAAGTCAGGGCCGTATTTAAGATTTTGGCGCCCGTGGGCAACAACATTTTAGCGCCCCTCATTTTGCTTATAATTAAATTTAATACTATTTGATAAGTAATACTACTAATACTAATTATAAGGATTTGTGGTATCTAATTTGGTATTTAGATAACTAAAATTAAAAAAAAAAAAAAAAAAAAAAAAAAAAAAAAAAAAAAAAAAACAAGTAAATCCAGTGACTGGTAAATATTATTAATATAATATAATAGGTAAAAAATAACAGAATATAGGTAACATACTAATAAAATATAAAATAAACATAAAATATATAACATACTAATACATACATTATAATATATAAAATCATTACTTCAGTTTTTTTTTCTTGCTTATTTTGCTACTAATGTTTTTTTCACATCTGAGTAATTTAAGCTCTTTGTAAGAGTAGCTTCTATGTTTAGAACTACAAGACTATTAAGTCTTTCTGAAGACATAGATGATATTAAATAATTTTTTATTCAAAGAAAAAGAAGAAGAAAAAAAGTAGAAAAAGACCTTTCAGTTGAACAGTTGGAGGCCAAATTACAAAGGAACGTTCTTAAAGCTACATCAGTGTATGGAAAAATTGTAACTAATTGTTTTTCTTTTATAAATTTACTCATGTTTAGTAGCGTTTTAGGAAGGTTGATGGTTAATTTCAATACACTTTGAAAATTAACACATTCATTTTCAAAAGATTCATCTAGATCTTGTTTATATATATTTCTCAATTTTTTTGCATCTTCACGTATTTCTGAAGGGTCTAGTTCATATATTTTTAAAATAAAGCTGTATTTAGATATTATACAGTCATAAGCAGATTTCTTTTTGTTGTGTTCAACTGTTAAATTGTCACAAATTACATAAAATATATTAATTTTAAAATTGTTTTGGCTATCAAATGTATGACTAGGATCATTGGATTCATCAAAATGTTATTTTCGTTTTCTTTGTTTATTTTCAAATTCCGAAATTTTATTACAATCTATAAATTTTTCTTTTGCTGCATCTTCATGTTTGAAACATTTCTCGTACAGATTTTACATAAGCAACTAATGAATTATATAATTCTACTACAACACTCAAATGTATTTGAACATACTGTAATAGTTTACTTGTTTTATTAAATTTATGAAGTACATTATTCCAAAACTCAGTCATAAATTATGTTTTTAGTCTATTAAGTTGTCGAAGTAGTCCCTCAGCTTTTGATCTTGTAAGTGGTTTCTGTAGTTTATCATGTTTCAAATCTAATAATGCTTTTTTCACGCCAGCCCAATTTGTTTTCAAACTATGGCAAGCATCATTTCGAGCAGACCAATGAGTATCTAGTGGAATTATTGTACTTTTTTAATTAGCTCCAGCGATAAGTTGAAGATGAGAAATAAACATATAGGTTTTGGGTAAATGAAAAAAAATTGTTTGTTTCTTCACAACAACTAGCAGCATACATTCCAACGAGATTTAGCGAATGAGCGGAACAGGGAACAATATCAGCTAAGGAAATAACATCTTTAATTCTTACTTGGACACCGGAATATATGCCAGACATATTTTTGGCGTTATCATAAGACTGGCTTCTAAGAAAACAAACATTTAAGTCATATTTCTTCAATATGAAAAATATAGCCTGTTAACGACTCTGCCTTATGCCCAGCATCGTCAATGAATCCAATAAAACGTTCCACTGGTTCTCCAATTGGTAATACATATCTTATAATAAAAGAAAGTTGGTCAATGTGAGTTACATCTGAGGTTGAATCAATACTAATTTAGAAGTATGTTACCACTTTTACTCCTTTAATTATTGTTTCTATTACTTTTCCTGACATTATACTGATGAATTGCTCATAAGTATAAAAAAATAAATGCTATGTATTTCCATTACCTGGATTCCCATATTTACTTATATGCTGAGACAAAAAAGGATCACATTCTGCAACTAATTCCATTGCCATAATAAAATTACCACTATTAGCAACAGAAGATCCATACTTTTCTTCAGTTCCTCTAAATGGTAATCCATGACTAGCTAATGACTTCACTACAGAACATACTCGAGTTAGCACATTAACTCTTTGAGGGGCAGGCTCTACCTATGAAATAAAACCCTTCAGGGACAGTAAATGATACAATAACATTTTTAAGTTTTTTTTTGTAAAAACTGTTTCTTATTAATACCTAAATTCAAAATTACTAAAAAAAATATTTTAAAATTACGAATTTTCCAAGAAAAGTTTACCTGTACTAACCACCGCCAAAAATGTTCAATGAATTTGTATAACATACATCATAATATTATACTCTAAAAACTAATAAATTCTTTCATATTAGGTAATTTTTGAGTATTATTAATAACATATTTTTTATCACAGATTTATATATCATAATATTAATCAAGTATAACAAAACATTTTTTTTATCATAACTAGTTATAAGAATTTTACCTACATTTGCTTACTTGATAATACAATATGTTTTAAACTTTTTGATTTAAATAACAATTTTTAATACAAACAATTATATTATATTTTAAAACTAAAATAGTATAGGAACATACATAAGAAATAGGCAACTTTTACTTTTATAATAAGTTAGACTTATTATTTATTATTTACTTATTTTTTTTTATTTATTTATTATTTAGAGTTAAATAAGAGGCTTAAAGTTATGAGTATAAGAAACTATATTATAGGAATAATCAATAAATACTTGATAGGTATAAAATAAAATAAAATTGTTTTGAGGTGCGCGGTGGTTACTGTTATTGACCACTTGCAAAACAATAATATTTATTCATATTATATGAATTGATACTAAAATTGATTATGATAACAAATATAATGTATAATAATTAATAAACTATAATAATGGAAGAAACAAAAAAAATAATAGAAAAAACATATTTACAATAATTTATAAAAGTGTAAAAATAAATACGTTTATCACTAAATTCGGAATAATAATACTGTTGTTCACCAACAAAAAAAAAAAAATCAAACAACAGCACAATCTAATATTTTATTCATACAACATATGTATTTATGTGGTCATAGCTGCTAACCACCGCCAAAAAAATAATAAAAATACTTATATAAGTGGTTAGTTCTAGTTAGCTAACCATCGCCCCTCAAAGAGTTAATGCAATAATTTGCCTCTACTTTTAACTGACGAGTAATTGTAGTGTCTATTCGGCCTAAATCAATTGCCCGTTGTTTCATTTTGAATACACAAATTTTATGTCCTTCTGAGTTTTCAAGTTTTTTCAATTTTTCTGGATATTTCCAATTTGAGAAAACTTTTTTAGAAAAAACATTCTGGTTTTCAACTCGGAAGTCGGAGGCCGAAGTAATATTCCGCGGTAGATTGGGAAACAAATAACAATATTGTACAATTGTCAATTAGCTAATATTTAATATTTTATACTATAATATATTTTAATTATTAATATAATTTATAATTTTTCCGAAAACTTATTTATAATCTCCGTAAATTTTTTAGCGCCCCTTAGCATATTCAAGAGGGAGCTATTGCCCCTCCGAACCACCTCTTAAATACGGCTCTGGTTAAAGTCAATAGCATATAGTACGTATGATACTAATTAGATAGAACTTGTGAGGGCATTAATTGCTATATCAGTATTTGTAACAATAAATTCAATACTGTCACTTAAGATGAATTCATCGTATAGAATGGTCCTACATGTCTAACATATATTTTTATAATAAATTCAAATATTTATCTACCTTTCTAATATTGACTTAAATTTGTTTTATTTTTGTGATTAAATTAAATTCAAATTAGTTCAAGGTTTTTCATCTAGACATTAATCTCTGATCTAGATAACAAAAATAAATAAAATAATATTTTTTTTTTTAAATTTTTACCAAATAACAAAACAATTTTAGTAATCATTAAATTTTAATTAATGACTGAATACAGCTCATTTTAATTTAATCAATGTTTCTGATAAAGTTTGATAATTCCATAATTTCATACATGCATTCACTAGATCTTAAATACATAAATAAATAAATACAAAAAATTCATAACTCTGAACTCTACTGCAGTCTCAAAACATTGACAATTTAACCCTTATACATAATACATTTCAAAATAATAAGATTTTATGAACTATAATTTTTTTGTATTCTAGCATTATAGAATAAAATTCAATATATTTTTAACTGAATGTAGTTAAATTAACAGAATATATTCCTAGAATCTATATGACATACCAGTACACATTTACATAGTTTTAAGAACTTTTTTTTATCATATTTGATACTTGTTTGAAATTTATTTATAGTTTAAATATACTAGTATGTAACATCTATGTATTAAACATTCATTAATAAAAAGAAAATTGTATTAATTTGAAAATATATAGAAATGTGCAAAATATATAAAAATATATATTAATCACAGCTGTGTTAAGGACCAACAAATATTATAATACTTTTATTTAAGCTTCCTTAAATTTTTCATAAATCATCATTCATGATATGTAAAAACTATAAAAAAAGGATTTATGAACAAATAGTAGTACAGTGTCAGTACACCAAAGAAAAATAGTCGTGTTATTAGTCTCTAAGGATGGAAAAGTATGACTTCAATAATTTATGTACAAATTAAAACCTAATAGCATGCTAAAATTTAAAATTATTCTGGTTATAAAAATAATAAAATAAAACAAGAGAGTGGAGCATTAAACAATCATTGAAAGAATATGATGAAAGAATATATTACATGAAAAAATCTGCAAGTGGCAAAGCAAAAGAAAAATTGATGGAGCTATAAGAAGAGTACAGAAAAAACATTAGAACATAATAACTAATAGTATCAAAAATATTATGATATTATGTTATATTATAAATAATAATATTAATAATATTTTATAATATAATAATAATAATATTATGTATTAAGATACATTAGCGCATAAAAAATTTTCAATACATTTAATGTAAAACTAAAGGTTAATTAAACTATTATAATTTAAATGAATAATTTTTTAAACGCATACCACAATTTCAATAGAAGCCAAAGTTGGTCATCAGCAAATTTATAAATGATCTGATAAAAGTAAGTTGAAGTTAGTATTAAATTATAAAAGTAAAAATTGATTGTACGTCAAATTAAAAAATGTATTTTACTTTATTTTAAATCATTAGAAATAATCATTAATTTCTATATTTATCACTTAATAGAAAAGTACACAATGAAGCAATAACCGTTGACATTTTTCTTCAAATTTAACAACTAATTTATCAATATCATTATCTAAATCATCACTTCTAGATATCTGAAACAAAAATAATATAAATTCTATAAATATTAAGATAAAAAATGGAACAAATTCTTTATCTTACCAAGGTAACTAATTCACATATTAAAAATGCACCAATAGTTGCTTCCTCATGATTGTCTTGGATGTCAATATTAATAACATGAACTGGCTTATTTCCAAAGTTTTCAATAGTTTCAAAATCTTAACAGAGAAAATTATTTTAATTATTAATATTTAGTAATATATAATAACATTATTATTTTACAATTATAATTTAAATGACTTCATAAACTAATAAAGACATAAAACACAAAAACAAAGATCAGCTATATCTTATCATGGTTTATAACAGATAATGTTAATAAAACTGATTCCATCAAGTTTTCAAACTAATGAAAATAACATTAATCCAGCATTAATATTTTAGTTTAACATACACTCCAACACTTGGTCATACACACGTTCTTCACAAGTAATGACTACGGTAAATTGTTCATCACACAGTTGAAATCTTTCTGGATGTTGCTTTATCCGCCGATTTCTGTCCAACATATTTAACAAACCATTTTGTGTGTAGCTAAACAAATAATGTGTTAAAGAAAGAATGATAAAAATTAATTATTAGTTTTACATTATTTATTTATTAAAGAGCATAATTACTAAACATTAACACAAATTTTGGAATTTAAAAAATTGAGAAATTACTATTTAAAAATAAAACAAAATATTAACTGTGATAAACAAAATAAAAAAATAAAAATCAATGGAAAATCTTTGATAATAATTTTCAAATCTCAATAAATTTGCGCCAATCATGTTTAAAACAATAAAACAAATTAATATAAATAATAAAGCTCATTGATCCAAAATAACAAATATCTGAATAAAAAATAAATATAATAAATAAATAAAATAAATGTTGTACAGATCAAAATAACAAATACACCTACAATAAATATCACGGAGTATTATAACTAATTTTTTCGATTTTAATGTAAAATAAGAATATTTAAAAATAGAAAAATAACTAAAATTTTAAATAATAATATTTAGATTATTTATTAAATTGTCTTGGATATTATCTACAATTTTTTTTTTTTTTTTAAACATCAATTCTTACTATGATTTAGATAAATTACTCTTAACTATTATAGAAAAGGATACAATGTTTTATCTTTATTATATAGGTCTCTATAAATTTCATCATAAGAACATCCAAAATCATAAATATTTGGTTTGTCTGGTGCTGTTCCAGGTAATTTAACCTTGTCACCTGTACCAAAGGATCGAACATTGAAACCTTTTTTACTGTAAACATAAACATAAATTAATTAAATATACTTCATATCAACAATACAGTTTATAATATATTTTGACTATACATTAAAATTTAAGTTCAAATGATTTAATTTAAGACTTGAGTACAATAAACAAGCCAGTCAAAAATGAGTTTCCAAATAAATAATAAAACATTAATCAACAAATAAGACGCCTTGGTTCAGTTCATTACCAAGATTTTAAATTTTTGCAATAATTTTTATATAACTATTTGTATAAAAGCAATTTCTATAAAATAAAAGTTAAGTTTATTAAAAAAGTCAATACCATTTAATTGGTAATCATAATATTGAGTTAAATGTAACAATTATTAACTGATAAAAGTAAAAATAAATTAAGCATTAATATAAAAAATCATGAAAATTATCACTCAGTAATACCAGCAGTAATAGCTAAATTTGGTAAGAACATTCAATTTTTGTGGATTAGAAATGTTATTGAAGACAAATTTCATTTTCTTACCTTAAAAATGCATGTGCTTCCATACTTCGATTCATGTTGCTCGAACACACTACGGCAATAAAAAAGTCACTGTTCGGCATAGTACAACTGTTATGTTCTCGTCAGTATAATAGGATATATCTTACAAAAAAAAATCGAAACATATAAACGACCTAATTTCATTTCAACAACGTTGTTGATTGCGTATTACTAAAAATATACTAATAACTTACTTAGAAGCTCGAGATACACGATCTGCTGAGGGTATAAAATTTAGATTTATTCTGATCGTCACGTTAACATTCCGACATAGCACGACCAAAAAATATGGAAACTGGGGAGTTATTTCGTAACTAGTGTTGAGACATCATTGATAATTATTGCGAATAATTCATATTCGTGGTACTCCCGAAGAGTTTTAATTTTTTGTCATTGTAATTTTTGAATTGTTATCCATTCTTCTTATCTCGATGAGTGGTAAACAATTTGTCATTGGTGATAAGAGTAGTGATAACGGTCCATAGCTCATGATAGGACGGCCATCGATGACGAATGGATCTTCGCAGGAAAAAACTCCGGATCCATGACGTCATTAGTTAGTGTTATCAATATTGTCCTTATCAAATATTATGCTGATTAAATGCGCGGCAATTTGACATTTGTTTAAATTTGTACAACTGCAGCGACGGATTACGCGATAATGGAATATTTATTTATTTTCTTATATAATATATATATATATATACCTACCCGAGTTTGATCACCGTTTTTATATAATGGTTTTATAATGGCTAGTTTAAATATATCTGGGAATATACCTTCCGATATGCTTAAGTTATAACTATAGGTTAATGGTAATGAGATATTTTGTGCTATGAGTTTTAATGTCTTAACTGATATGCTATCGTGTCCAACTGCTGTTTTATCTTTTAAATTGTTGATAATTAATAAAACTTCGTCGACACTAACTTTTTTATTAAAAATCGTATCAAAAGATTCAGTTGTATTTGGTTCATCATGATGAAAGTTTGATTTATTTATCAAGCCTCCAAGGTTACTCCCAATGGTTGTAAAATACTTATTAAAAATATTGGAAACCCTAATTGGGTTTACAGATGAATTGATATTTTCATTACTAAAAAATATTGAATGTTTTTCCTCATCATTTTTAATTTTGCAATTTGTACTAGCTACATCATTAATCAGTTTAAATGTTAATTTTGGGCTATATGAAATCACTTTGAATTTGTTTATGTAGTGATTGTTTTTTGCTAGTCTTAAAATTTTTGAAAATTTATTTTTATAAAGTATGTAGTGTGCACGTAGTTTGTGATTACTTGGGTGTTTAAGAATTTTTTTAGGATAGTTTTTGTTTATTACGTAGAGAGCAAAGCAAGCCAGGTGTCATCCACTCTTTTAGACATTTGTTTTTAGAAATGGCAGTTTTAGTTATTGAGGTCATACTTATAGCACTTTCAACCTTAATCATAAAAATATAATAGCATTCATTGACATTGTTATTAATATACACTTCATTCCAATTTTCTTTTTTTAATATTTCATTCGGATCGCTGTAATTTATTGTCTTATATACGTTATTAATTTTTTGTCGATTTTGATTATTAATTTGAATACCTATAACTGTTGAAAAATGGTCCGTAATATTGGTTTGAATCACATCTGCCTCAATTTTACCGATAATGTTAACGTTATTATTACTTTTGACAAAAATGTGGTCTAAATAAAAATGTTTGCTGCCTAGCGGAGTTCTAGTAAACACATTAATAAATGATTCGTATCCATATTCTGATATTTTATCAAGATATTCGTTATTAGTGAAACTTGGACCTACAATGTTTATATTCATATCAACAATTATAATTTGATAGCCTTTATTATTTACTTCGTCTTTTAGAATGTTATCTAAAATGAGCAAAAATTCATTGATATCGCTTGAAGGGGACCTGTATACACATAAAATGGAAAATGGAGTATTATTTATTACAAAACTTAGTTTCATAAGATTAGCCACAGTATGTTAATATTCAACTAATTCTATACATAAATGTGTTCTAGTGAATACAATTATACTATCATTTTGGTTTCTTTTAACTCTCGAGAAAAACAATTTTAAAATGGGGGCTTGGCAGAAACCTTCACGTGGTTCCCCTGTTAATGCTGTATCCCCACAGCTAACTAATTCTGCCAACACCGGTGCTAAAAATGCCATATAGCTCCTCGAAACGGTCCTTTCCAGGACCAACCTCTATTAATGCCACGGCATTTACAGTGCTAACATAAAATATCGAGGGTTTCTCAGCGTGTAAAAGCGAACTACTTGCTACCTTATGCACGGAAACCCAATGTGATGTTTTGTGTTTACAAGAGACGCACCGTGACGAAACTAGTATCCGTCCAAGAATCCCGGGAATGAACCTAATAATCGAAATACTAAAAATCGAAACGCACTCTACGGAAGTGCAATATTTGCTAGGCCGGGCCTAGTCATTCAGCCACAAAAATAACATTGAAATTCTAACCATCGAAACTAAAAAATGTACAATCACATCGATATACAAGCCACCGAACGCTGACTTCACCTTTGAAAAACCATCAAATTTTGAAAATAGCTCCACAAAAATAGTAGCCGGAGATTTCAATAGCCACAGCCCCACCTGGGGGTACTCAGAAACTGATCAAAACGGTGAAATGGTGCAAGAATGGGCTGAAAATGAGCTACTTGACCTAATTCACGATCCAAAGCTTCCTTATTCATTTAATAGTGGACGTTGGAAAAGAGGATACAACCCGGACCTAATCTTCGTAAGTAGTAACATAAGCCAGTAATGTCTCAAGGATGTATGTACTCCCATACCAAAAACACAACACAGAGCATTAAAACTACAAATAACCGAAGTAATTAGGTCTGAATCAATTCCATTCAAGAGGAGATTTAATTACAAAAAAGCTAACTGGGAAAAATACAGGGAGGCTATCGATAAAGAAATTCAGAACCTAGAACCAACACCAGAAAACTACGAACTATTTGCGAATAAAGTAAGGAAAATATCTAGACAACACATACTACGCGGCTGCAGAGAAAATTACATACCAGGTCTAAGTAAGGAGACTGAAAAGCTGATAGAAATATACCAAGATCTGTTTAAAAACGACCCATTTAGCGATGAAACTATTACGGCAGGAGAAACCCTTACTATACAGCTTGGCGAAGACAAAAACAGAAAGTGGCACGATCTCATTGAAAACACTGACATGACGAAAAATAGCAAGAAAGCCTGGCGCCTAATAAAAAAGCTCAGTGGAGACCCAACTGTCCACAGAACCTGTATAAATGTCACTGCCAATCAGGTTGCCTCAGAATTACTTAAGAATGGTAAACCCAGAATGAAAATCAAGAGGGATAAAATCATAAGAGACAAAAACAACGAATCCCACATCTTCGACCACGATTTCCAAATAAATGAATTCATCACTAGCTTAAAAGAAATGAAGAATGGGAAAGCGGCTGGGTACGACGAAATTACAAAAGAACAAATTATACACTTCGGGCCAGTAGCGAGTCGATGGCTACTCCAACTACTAAATACATGTCTTCATAGAAAACATATACCTCAAAGCTGGAGAAAGTCTAAAGTAATAGCCCTTCCCAAACCAGGAAAAGATCTAAGTGATCCAAAAAGTTACCGACCAATATCACTGTTATGCCACACCTATAAATTATATGAGAGAATGGTCATGAACCGCATTAAAACCCAAATAGACAAAATGCTGATACCGGAACAAGCTGGCTTTAGACCAGGCAAGGCCTGTACAGGTCAAGTACTCAACATATGTCAACACATAGAGGACGGTTTCGAAAACAAAAAGATAAAGGGAGCGGTTCTCGTTGACCTAACAGCAGCGTACGATACGGTTAACCATAATAAATTGCTACAAAAAGTGTATCACTATACCAGGGACTGGCAATTCGTTCAAATAGTTGCTTCACTACTACAAAACCGTCGATTTACGGTAAAGCTGAACGATAAGTGGAGTAGATAGAGAATCCAAAAAAACGGTTTACCACAAGGCAGTGTGCTAGCACCAATACTTTTTAACCTATACACAAACGACCAGCCAACCCCGAGAGACACGAAACACTTTTTATATGCAGACGATCTAGCAATCACAGCTCAAGATACAACCTTCGATGATGTAGAAAAGAAATTAACAAACGCGCTTAAAGTGATGACCAACTACTATGACAATAACCAATTAAAACCAAACCCAAATAAAACACAGGTATGCTGCTTCCACCTACGAAACCGTGATGCCAAGAAACACCTTATTATAGAATGGCTGGGAAAAACACTGCACAACACAGATTACCCCGTGTATCTTAGTGTCACCCTAGACAGGACACTGACATTTAAGGAGCACTGTTCGAAAACTAAAATGAAAGTGCAAGCAAGGAACAACCTACTTAGAAAACTTGCCGGAAGCCAATGGGGGGCACAACCTCACACCATGCGAACAACAGGAATAGCCCTATGCTTCTCAACTAGAGAATATGCGTGTCCAGTGTGGAGCCAATCCAAACACGCCAAAAATGTATCTGTAGCTCTGAACGATACCTGTAGAATCATAACGAGATGTCTTAGACCAACGCCTACACACAAGCTATACCTTCTAGCAGGCATAGCTCCACCTGAAATTAGAAGACGAGTAACCACCGACATAGAAAAAACCAAACAGATAAAGGACGAAAGACACCCTATGTTCGGACATGAAATCGCGAACACAAGACTTAAATCCCGAAAAAGTTTTATGCAAACGGCAAAAGAACTGCACGAATCCCCCCAAAAAGCTAGATTACAAAAATGGCAAGATGAGCTACAACCGGAAGAACTGACTCAGATTACACAACAACTCCCAATGGGTGGACACCTCCCATGGCCATTATGGAAAACTCTTAATAGATTGAAAGCCGGGGTGGCGAGGACGAAAGCTAACATGATAAAATGGAAATTTAATGGAGAAGATGACTCATGTGACTGTGGAGAACGACACACCGATGAACACCTTTTGTTATGTACCATGATTCCAACACAATGCACCAGGGAAGATCTGATTCTGACAAACACAAATGCAATAGAGGTGGCCGCTTACTGGTCGCAACACAACATATAGAACGTTACCAAAAAATGTAATTTATTAGACGTATCAAATTAATTTATTGTATATTTTTTTTTATTATTATTATTAGTATTTTATTTGATGTAATTATTTTATATAATTGTTATTGGCATTTTTATTATCGGACACGACAACAACAACAACAACAATTTTAAAATTACAATATTCTACATTATGCCAATTTTCAGTTAATATTATTACATCTAAATTACAGCAATTAGTATCACTGTTAAGAAAAAATAAAAAATCATTAAAATGAGCATTAATGCTCCTAATATTATTACAGAAAACACTTATGAACTCACCATTAACATATTTATGAATTTTTACGAATTGAGAAAAGGAATCAAAATATTTTGTTTTATAATCCAAATAATTTCTTAATACAATATAGTCATTCATGATATGATTATTATTTATCAAAGTTTATTTTACAACTAGGATGATGATTTTACTGAAGCTTTACCAGATCAGTTTCATCATATATAATTACTTTACAATTTTCATTTTTTTTTATAAATATTTTAAAGTCGTTGTACCACGTAAATTTAAAATCGTTATTTTTAGCAAATATTCTAACTTTATAAAAGAGATCCCTGTTAAAAGGTGAAAGTTCATTATTAATAAAGATTTTTCCATTTCCCCAGTTGATATTAAAATTATTAACGTTTAATTTTTTAATTTTCATATTTTCCATTATTTTGTTTTTATTATCGATCGAGTCTAATACAGCAATAATTTTCTTAGGTTTATTTAAAATCTTAGAATACAAACGGTAGGCTTTGTTTACAGATAAATGTACTCCCAACTTGTCCGCAATGTTCTTAACAATTTCCACACAACTTTCATTAGGCGATTCAGGTACACCGATAATTTCCACATTATTGCTCACAGCCTTTTGCTCCAATAAATTGACCTTCTTTGATAATATTTTACGCTGTTATTTAGTTTACTGTTTTCCATTATTAAACACTTATTTTCTTCTTTTAGTTCTTTAATAGTGTTAAGGACCTCACTTAGCTGTTTAGAGAAACCATCAAATTGAGCACTCATAAACTTCACCGATTCGGTTAAGCAAGTAAGAGGTTAATTGGACCCATCACTAGAGTTTACATTCTTTTTAAGAGCTATGTTACAAACCGTTCCAGATTTACAGTTAGCACAACACCAAATATCCTTTGTTGCTTTCCCCATTTTTCGAAATAATGCTTCTCTAAGCTGGCGCAAGAAAAATGTAAAAATTCTTTACAGGCAGTACATTTTAACTTGTTGCCTTGAAAAATTTCTTCATTACATACTGAGCACAACATTATGTAATCACACTGTAGCATTGACCGGTAATTTCACAAATAAGAGAGCGAAATAAAACCACAAGTAGCTGTGATGAACACACAATTCGAACATAATCTCAAAACTCGGCTCGATTGGAGGTTGAAATATTATTCCATATTATCACCTAATCTATTTGATTTTAGGAAAGGCATGGGCACCATGGAATGCCTTTCCGCGTTAATTGGTAATATCTACAACTCCTTTAATGTTAAAGAATTTTTTGTTGCCACTTTTATAGATATTAGTGGTGCCTTTGACTTTGTTAGTATTCCTACTTTAGTTTCCAAACTTTCCTCCATTGGTTTACCTCCCACCTTCTTTAATATTATCCTCTCCCTGTTTTCTATTAGGAGTCTATCTTTTATTTCCCCTTTCGGCTCACAATGCACACGGACCACTTTTTCTGGTCTTCCGCAAGGTAGCTGCCTTAGTCCGATACTTTTTAACTTTTATATGAGCACGATTGCAAATCACCTTTCCAGTCTCGACTATAATTGCCTTTTTTATGCGGATGATATTGTTGTCTTTTCTTCTAATAAAGTTCTCGAGTTTGCCATTGAGTCTCTTAATCTCGCTTTCATTGAACTTAACAATATTTTAATTGACCTATTCTTTTCTGTCGCCTATGAGAAATGTAAATCTGTAATTTTTACAAAACGTAGATATTTTAATCCCCCGTATGTGTATTTCGATAATAATGTTATTCCTTTTGTAGATAATACCACTTATTAAGGTATTACTCTTGATCCCAAATTACGCTGGCTACCGCACATTTTATCTTTCATCTCCTTTGACTCTCGTTGGACTAATTTTCTTAGGGCCATTACTAGTACTTGGTGGAGCTCTCATTCTATGGATCTTTTGTTAATCTATAAATCCATCATACGTTCCAAATTTGACTATGGCTGTTTCCTCTTTGGTTCTGCATCATTTTCGAATTGGAAAAGACTTAATAAAATTCAAAGCTCTTGCTTAAGATGCATCATGGGCTACGTTAGATCTTATCCCCTCCCAGCAATAGATGTAAAATTCTTGAAGTAAAAAAAGCACTTTCAAATTTCATTATTGTACGTGTTATAACTTGACATACACTTCTATAACACTACTAAATTTTGAATCAATCCATAAAAAAACAAATACTTTAATTCCCGAGCCCAGGTAATCTAATATACATATACTAATATACATACATTATAATACATAGCAAATATATTCTTTAATTATAATTGTATGATATACATACAATCCATAAATATGAGTTACATAAATAAACATTAATAGTTGATTTTATTATTTTTGGGAAAAAATTATAAAATACAAATCAAAATGTTGAACACAGTTACAGTACAATAAAATTGTATACTATTATAATATTTATCAATTTACTGGCTGTACTGTATTCTTATATTATTGTATTTTATAGTATAAGACTTATATTTTGATAATTGACTATTTGTTATAAGTATTCATAATAATTTTTATCGTATATTACTGTTGTATATAATAAAAAATAATATTATTTAAGCAAATTTAATATTAATTGTTACAATAATCTTTGATGAAGTGCATTGATATGTATAATATGTATTTATTATGAGCTAAAATAATATAATATTAAGTGTATCTACGACCAGATATATGCGGTAATTAAAGTAACTACTTTTAATCTCCACAATTTTAACTAATATTCTTATTGAAATAAAACTACATATTTACAAACTAAGAAATGATTTGATTGGAAAAGATGGCTGAGGGTTATTTTGCCAAATAACTTTATTTGAATTGTAAAACATCAATGTTCTTTTTATCATTTCCAATTCATCAGTAACTGCGCTCAATCTGAATTTCAGCATCATGTTTTCTTTTTCCAAAAGAAATAATTTTAAAACCATCTGAAAATAATAGTTGGCTTTTAATTTTACTATATTTTTGATATTTCATGGGATGTCACCAATTGAGTGATTTTTCCATTCTATCTATAATCTTTTTTTAAATTATTTACATTACACAATTGTCAGATTTATTTATTGTAATGCCTATATGTAAACAAGGGCACCCATAGGAATATTCTTAAGGGGTGGGACAACATTTTTATTTATCAATCTATTCATAAATAGGAATGACCCACGATTTAGGAAGGGCTTTATAATTTTACGTTATAATATTACATTATATAGCTATATCAAACTGGAAGACTATAAAATAATAATTATTTAACCAATTTACCATAAAAGTAATTTATTGAAATTTTTATTTAATTAATAATATAAATTGGACAGTTAAAACATGAGTTATATTTATTAAAATATTAATTTACATATATTATATAAATATTATGGTTGTGTACACACACACATATACATACCGTATTTCTGGAAATATACAATATTTTAAGAATTGATAATTATCTATAGAATAGAAACGAAAAAGCGTATTGTTATTTACAGCCTGATTTTCCAAACTAAATAAATTTATTTTTCATAAACAAATTATAGATTTTCATATATTAAATTAAATTTTTAAATTCTATTTAAATAAATATTTTCTGATCATAGTAAACAATTTTCCAAGATTTTTGTCATTTCCCAGGGGGGGACATCCTTGCCTCCCACATGGGTGCCCTTGTATGTAAAGATTGTAAATAAACTACCTATTTAATGATTTTAGTTTAAAAATGTATGTTCATTATATTTTTTAACATTTAACGCTCATTTTTTTCAATAGATTTTAAAATGCAACATCATTATTTTTTACATTTTTTCAGCACTTCACACTTATATTTTAATATTAATAACACTCATTTATGTTTTCAAAAAAAAAAAAAAAAAATTGGTGTTGATATACAGAAAATAATATTTCCAATTTTTTTTTTTTTTTTTTATTTTACACAGTATAATATATTATATAATATATAATATAATATATATTGATTGTATATATTATATACAATCTGTACAATTTGCACAATTAGCATATTTGATAAGGGTTAAAATAATACATGAGTACGTGAATAAGAAGCCACCCACTAATGGCACTTAACTAAATTTCCAATTTAATATAATCATTACTATTTTATTTTTTATTGAACTTATTTTTTTATTAAATAAAAATTTTGCAATTCATTCCCTAATATTTCTATAGCTTTATGAATTATGCTTACAATGCTAATAACTACAGCTAGTGCCGAAAGTATTTTTTCAAAGCTGAAGATTATTAAAAATTATTTGCGGACTACTATGGTTCAAGAGAGACTTTCTGACCTTGCCATTATTTCAATTGAAAATGAAATTTGTGAGAATTTAGATTATGGTGATTTAATTGCAACATTTTCAGAAGCAAAAGCAAGGAAAATTAATTTTGTTTAGATTTATATATTTGTATTTCAATATTCTACTTTTTTTTTTTATATAAACATCAATAATAAAGTTAACGCCTAATATTATAATAATTTATATAAGCGAATAATAAAATGTATTATTTAATTTTTCGCTATCCTAAAATTAAAAAAATTTTAATTATAAGAAAACATTCTATTTATAATTAAGTATTTAAGTAGAGGGTGAGAACCAGGATGGCCTCGCAATGATTTTTGGCCCCTGGCCTCGCAAATCCTAAGAGCGGCCCTGGAACTACTTATTATACAATATAAAATATTATTATATATATAATTAAACTGTCAATTTTAAGAACGTACGCGACACTGACACATATATACATGTTAAAAAGTAAAAATACGACTACATATAGTTAGTTATACTACATATATTGAGTAAAAAAATTGTAGTCGACATTTTTCATATTATTTACCCCCCCCCCCTTGATTTTCATCTTCAGGACGGCCCTGGCGTATGCCAAAAATATATAATCATATACATTGTTGTTATTGTTATTGTAATGCATATTTTTATTGTTATACTCAGTGGCTTACATTCAACCTTACTCTGGGGGGGAGGGGTTTAACAAAAATAATTGTTATCTTTTTTTTTTTCGTTGCACAGATAAATAAGATAAATAACTGCTATAAATATATATTATATTATACAACTTTTTTACCAATTTACTGTTTACTTTTACATTACAGTAAATTAATAGCTATTGGAATATAAAAACAGCATAGTTAACAAAACTTTTCAAACACCTATCAATATAATTATTTAATTATCATAATATTTGTATAGTTGTATATTTTAAGTTCAAAGCGTAATAATGAAACTACGAATATATTACACGTCATCAATAATAAAACAATTTTCTTTTTTTTTGGCCCTGGGGGGTTCGAACCCGGACCCCCCCCACCGTATGTACGTCATTTGTTACACTTATTGTCTTGCTGATATAGCCTTATTAATTTTATATTCTATTAATTGTTATAATTATCATAAATATTATTACTCGCTTTCTTTTTTGCCATACGAATAAATAAAATGATCAAATTAGTTACTCTCAAATACTTATTACACACCACGGGCAGATTTAAAGGAGTGGCTAAGGGGGCATTAGCCCCCTCCCCTATTGGGACTAAGCTATCTATTTTACAAAGCAAAATATTATTATATATTAATAATTATAATAATATATCGTCAATGGTCATTGATGAATACGATACCTATTTTATGTATTTTTTTATAAATAAATAGCTCACTTTTGTTGTTAATTATATATATTTACCTATATTTTAAAATGGTTTCGGATTAAAATTGATACCAATAATGTAACTATTTAAACTTTGTCATTATTGTGAAAAAAATGATTTACTTATGAGGGACTCAAAACATATTCTGTAATTTAAAATTGTATGTAGATTTAAAAAACCAACTAACTAAATTCTTAAACCTCCATTAGACCCTCCCTTGGTTAGTGATAAGACCCGCCCCAGTTACACACAGTATTCAGGGATTTCATCTATACGTTTAATAATAATATATTAAGTATTCAATCGATCTAAGATCAATGACGGTTCATTTTTATCTTAACCGCTATTCATCCATAACACTACATCTGTTCTTTCTAATAAATTAAGCATTAATTAATTCCTCTCCGTTCTATCTTTGTCAACTAATTGATATTACGAGTATTTGAGGTTTTCAGTAGTGATGGCAACAATTGAATAATTTCAACCATCGAGATATTACTCGTACCTAGTAAATGAAATATTATAATAATCGAAAATTTCATTTGATTAAAATAATCGAAATATTCAATTGATTAAAATAAAATAAATCGAGAAATAATTCTTATTATCGAGATATTCTTTTAATTAAAATAATTGAAATATTAAAATTACTGATTAAAAAACCAATCAATAATCGACTTATGAATAAAAAATAAAAATTTTGTTAAAAAATAATTTATAGAACTTACTTAATATTTTTTTTATTTTAATAATTTTAATCTACGAGACAATTCACTATTATTATATAAACACAAAACCAAAATACATTTTTAAAATAAAACACTTATTTACGTTGGAAATGAAGACATTCATTATTATTAAACCGATATATTTGAATTTATTATACTCGTATATAAATATATATATATATACATATAATATGATAAATATATTATATTTATCATAAATTATATTAATGTATATGTAGCCTATATCATGGTCTTGTTTACAAAACCGTGGCCTCAAGGTACATATATATATATATATATATATATACAAATTTATAAATTATACTTAGAAGTTATATACAAGTATTATAACCAAGTGCTACTTACGTAAATACCTAGAAATAAATTTGTTTACTAACTTTATACATCAAACATGAAACGTAAGAAATATGGAATGAAATTATCAAATAAATAAATAAATTTATCAAAACTATTGAACAGATACCGTCAAATGGTGTTACTTGGGGCATTATAAAATTATGATTGTAGGTAACTTAAAAACTATTTAAGTTAGGGAATTTCATGTGATTACAAAAAATCTGGGTCTTACTTTGTTCTATGAAAATTTTATTAATTTGAGTTTTTTCTTAAACTCCTATTTATTTATTTTTTATGCTTGTCCCAAGTTGTACCATAAAAGTTTAACTTGGGGCAAACATATATTATACAAGAACCAAGTTTCCTTTACTAAGACTTATTTGGGGCAAAAAAATAATATTTTTAAAAGATTCCTTGAATTTTTTAAATAAGAAAAACATTTTGCATTTATTTTTGAAACAATGTACACTAATTAAAAATAAATTTAAAAAAACAATTGAATTATAGATTTATATATTTCACATTATTTATATTTTTATAGTTGAAAACAAAACAATATTTATACAAATTAAAAACCCTAGGTATGTAGGTAATACATTATGACTTATGTTATATCAGTCTACTATTAAATCAGAATACTTATTTTAAATTATAATTAATTAACATATTTTAACAATGAGAATAGCAATACATAATCAGTCTTGATTTTATAATATTTTCAGATGTAATTCCCATTTACAACATTTTTAACATTTAAAATTTCACATAAATTATGAGAAATGTCATGTGAGATTAATGGAAATCCCCATTTACTAGCTACAATAAGACCTTTGACTAAATCCTGTTCTTCGTCATAGTTCAAAACACAGGGTCTTCCAACTGGTGATAAATTTTGATCATGGCGTTTGTGGTCAATTGTGGATTTAGAAATGCCAAACTCTTCAGATGCTTAATGTTCAGTCAATTTATGAGATTTTACAAGAAGTACTGCTCTTTGAAGTGTGTCTTCATTATATGTTTTATATAGTGTTGCTCCAATTTTCTTTTTTCGTCCAACCATTTCTTTAAAAGAAAAATTATAAATATATTATTTTATAAAAAAAAAAAAAAATCAATAAGTAGATAACTTAATATAATCAAGCCAGCCATATTATATTATACCTATATAATTCAAATTAAACACTAGTAAAAACAAATAGGTAAAGATGTATTTTAAACTAATTTTACTAGGTATGTACAATCTACTAAGTTTTAATGTAATAAATATTAAAATATAACAATTACATAAATTGGAAACTTATTTTTATTTATCACATCACTCAAAAAACAATACTTTTTCTTGTTTATACAATACTATTAAGGTATGTCAAATGCTTAACAAATTACACTTACTTTATAATAAATATTAAATATACTTACTAATAATTTCTGATCTTCAATTTAAGTTCTTTCTGAAGAAAATTTTTTAAAAAAAATATTGAAAATAGTGCGATAACGCTATAACTTGATACCATGGCCTTATGGCGCGAAATATAAAAACATATGATTTTGGTCCAAGTTGTACCGCTGCCTCAAGTATAACCATTTGACGGTATTATAATATAGAAATGTTGCAAGTCTATAATGATTATTGACTTATATGATAATACAATATTTTTATACTAATATTTTAATAGTAATTACTAATTTAGTAATTTCTAATTTAGTAGTTAACTCTTATCATTAAATTATTCCTTCTAATAATCGAGTTACTTGATAAATTCAAACGATTAAGTTACTCGATTATTTTCACTCGATCGTTCCCATCACTAGTTTTTAGCAAATTAATTTTCAATTTATCTTCGTTTAATTTCAGTGATTATAAATTCTCAACAAATATATATTATAAATATAAATAAATAAAATTATTATTATAATTAATAAGAAATTATAAGTATAATTGGATAAATTATTTTTATCCTTTAGTTAACACTAAAATAATATATTTTCGTTATAATATAGTATTGGTTCTACTAATTTAAGTTTTTATTATAACGTTTTAATCAAAATTCTAGCAATCTGTAAATTGTTTAGACTTTAAGATTTGGAATTTATGTCCGTTATTATGAATAAATAAATAAATATGTTAATTTATATACATTTATATAATACGATTTATTTTTAGATTCTAAACTTTCATATTTATTTTTTATAAATTAATTATTAGTTTCGAGCTAAATAGAATCGTGTCATGTTAAACCTATAGTCGACCAGCTTATCATATCAAAAGTATATACAATAATACTCGTATAATATAAAAAATAAGATTGATATAATTGTATAATAAAGATTCATTATTTCTCAAACGTTTTAAATGTATCTTATTTACATTTTTTTTTTATTAAAACTAGTTCATGATATAACATCAACTTTATGTAATCAGTTATTTATTATTAGGATACTTACATAGTTTTTTTTTTTTTTTTTTTTGAATTATCTGTAACTATATGCATTTCTTTTTTATTACTATTAAGATTCGATATATTTATGTTATCGCTACCTACTATCTATTATGATTTATCCAACGGTATTATATGCAAATTGAAAAACAAAATAACACTCACTTCATTATCTTTTCTACGTTTAGCTTCTCTGGATTTTTTTGCAGCCATGTTGTTCCTTTTTCTTTTCTCGTAATATTTATCGTCTTTTTTCTCCCATGGAGTGTCCGTTTTCAATCGTCGTTGTTGCGTTTGTGATGCATTGAATTTATTACAATTGCACTCGTTGGAACCCTGCCATTTTCTGTGATCTAATAAAAATATAATCAAATGATAGTGTAATACATATTATTTAAACCTGATTCATTCATATTATTCAAAAATGAGAAATAAATAGATACCGTAGTGTTTTAGTATACAGGAATGGCAATTTAAACTAGTGTTATTTTGGCTCAAAATCAATGAATCCATTCAGTAGTCTGATCTTATATTATTTCGGTTCACAGCACGTCGAAAATTTTCCTGTTGCTTTATTTCAATGAACATTAAAAATATTATGTAACGCTATAAAAACTTATTTATAAATTGTTAATATACATGTGAATTTACTACTGTAAACATATTAAATTACTAACCAATATAATGTAAACTATATAGATGTTAAATAATATAATAAATATGTATATAATATGTATATATATATATATATATATATATAATTATATTAAAAACTCATCGGTAAATATGGAAACTACAAACATATATTACCTACTATATGTCAGTCAATAAATTTAGTTTTGAAAACAACTGTAGCAGTAATTCACAACTTATGTAAAATGTATTAACTATTACGATTATTTTTTTTATTATTTTATTAAATTACTATTTCCAGAAATATTTTTATTATTTTTATTAGTTGGCAATAGTTTTTAAATGTATAGATTATTTTTTATAATTCAATTTGTCATCTATAAGTTAACTTTTACCGTTACACAATACACATATTGTCAGATCAATAGTCGCGGTGTTTGTTCGTTATAATAAAAAAAATATATATATACATATTTTAAAAAATAAATATAGTATGTAATATTATGCATACATTGTACTAACTTATATTAACGGAATTTTTTGTTTAATATTTTAGTGTTCTAATTAGAACTATTTTCTAACCAAATATCCATTATTTTGTATGATCCTCTAATAAATACAGCACAACTATTGAGTAAACCAAACAAAGATAATGCTTCTACTTTATTTTCAGTAACATCGCAAATGACTAAGTTTAAGACGTGTGTATAGCACCAAATATGTAGTTGGGTAGCCCCCGTTTCACTGAGTTTTGCCGAAAACCCTCTATATTGCCCTATATTGTCAAAATTAATAAACACGCAATGCAAACAGATTATATAGCATTTGGTGCATTTTATTGCTTCAAATTGAATATTATATAATTATTCCTCTTTTGATTTACTTACAGCAAAATCGACGATAGTGGCCTTACGGTTTTAATATCTGCTGCAGTGTCACTATATTAGATGCTTATAAACAACTGTGGACTAAGAGAAAAGCAAACGATATAATATTATACTCGTATTATATACACGATTGGGAAGCAACGGTAATGAAATGACTCGTTTGGAGGTGTGTTACATAATGTTTTTTATAAATTTGTATATATAACGTATACAATATAATATATGGGATTTGTTTTTGTATTTATAATTACGTGTAGGTATTATTTTAACGTCATTTTTATGATTCATGTACAAATCGAAATTAATATACTCGTATTATAACATTTATACTCTGTTATACCTTTGTACTTATCTATATTTATATACATACAAACACACTTAAATTTGTGTGTGTGTGTATGTGTGTGTATGCGTGCGTATTTGTATATGCGTGCGTGCCTGTTTGTATATATATACATAGGTAGAACCTAGCATGCAATTATCAGACGTGATTCCAAACACCAAAATCATTTGTATCTCAGTCCAAATGATACTAACTTTGGGGGATAGACGCGCATGATATATACGTATCTATCTTCGTGCACAAAGGGAGTCATCATTATACTTTTGTAATTTACTAGTACAGCAATTTTGCTATCGTAATCGGACTATTTTTTTCCAACACCAAAAACTAACGTAACGTGGAATAATGCAAACACGAAATTCAACAATTAACCTGTTATTAACATAATATATAAAATATGAAATTAAGTGTACTTCATAAAAATCGCATAGCCGAAAGAAATTCAGTGATTTAAATTGTGTTCATGCCCCGTTATTATTTATGTTAGTGTCATTATATAGTATGATAAAATATAACGGTTTTTTATATATAAACATAGGTATATATGTAGTTCTGTATAATTATTACTATAATCGATCACGAAACAATAACGTTAGGTTTTAATTATTTCAGAATTTATTCATGGATAATTTTTAACTTAAAAGTGATTAATTATCTATAGCTTACAATCATCATATAAGAAACCTAAATCACTGTTATAATTATACATTGGTACTTACACCTATAAATGCATTGCACGTACCTAGGTAAGGAAAATATACCACTAACTATAACTAGTTGATTATAAGAAAAATATGCCACCAAATTAAATTGAACTCGAAGAAATACGAGCGATTAAGCTTTACACAGTTGTTATTTAAATATATATTAATACTAATAATAATAATAATAATTAATTTTAAAAATTAAATTAAATTAACCTTTATACATTTTTCAAAAGGTTGAAAATTGCTGGAAAGTTTTTTAGTATAAAAGTTCATTCTTGATTAAGATGTCGTTTAACTAATTATGTAAGTACTACGAAATTAATAGATACAAATTATTAGAACCGAGAAGTTTGAAAAGATATATTGACAAATACACATTTGGGGTACAGTAATGATACCTAAACGTCTTATTTTATACACGGTATATACTCGTACATTATATTACTTGATGTGTATGTGATGATAAATGCTAATTTACTACTTCAAAATATTGTGTAATACATTAAACATAATAAATGTGTATCAAACATGATTGAATACGAGGAAACTGAAATATATGAGTGACCAAGTAAGAAAATTAAATTAAAATTATCGGTAATAATCGTGAAAATGATGACGTAAGTATTTCATAAATGATTCTATAACTTTAAATATTTATAAACTAAATATGATTATGTTGAATTTTCTGAATTTTTAATTTTAATTGAAGGTAAAACAATTTAAAATTAACCTTATATTGGTAAAATGTTCAAGCCACTAGTCCTAAGGTTACTCATTGCATCAAAATAAATACCAATGCAAGCTAAACGAAATCAACTATTATGTCAACATTTTTATTTTTTTTTATCCTTCATGTCGGAAAAATTAAAGTGAATTTTAAAAATTAATCTATTCAATATAGATACTTCTAAAATTGGTTACATAAGGTAATATGTAACAGTAATATTAATGTACATTTAATATAGGTGCGTGTTTTTTAGTGAATTAAGAGTAGGTATATACTAAATCTGCATTATTTAACTGTAGTATACATGCACAGTGCCTTATATATTTTGTACTCAACTTTATTTCTTCTAAATAATAGCTTCTTTTATTTTAAAAGTTTTAACATCATTGAAAAAATAACAAGTTACAAATCGATATATTATGCAATTATCTTATCAATTTAAATTTGATACACAACAGCTAAGAAAACGTTAAAATTTGATAAATATTATACTTACTAATTTTGAATAGAAAGAATCTTCTTTACAATCATGCTGCCAAAATTATTGTATTTAAAAAATGAATAGTTTATTGCTATAGTTTCTTAATATTTTTTATTCTTCACATTATTATTAAGTGTTAATAATATTATAAGAACCTAATACTTTTTCCTGTACCTGACTGTAATGCACGCGTAATGATGTGCATCATTTGAATATATAACATGTCATAAATAAATTGTAGTTATGTATACCACTGTATTATGTAACATGTTAAAACCAATAAACAATATGATAATTATTTTGATATGCGCACAGACAACATAATTCAAATAATTTAGGCTTAATCTAATAATATATCATTGACATTTTAATTAAGTCAAATATTCAAAGAACCGGTCCAAGGTTCATCCCGTCACACTTCCCTTTATAACAAGGACACTAAACCTTTTCGCTAGTTTATACCATAGGCTGTCAGCAAATGCGTATCAAACTCTTGGTCATAGGTACACACTGACCACCGAGATCTTTTAAAGATGATCTTGTAACAAATTACTACTACGTGCAATTATTTCACCTTACGATTTGAGTTTTCCATGCTAGTGTCAAGAAGTGTCCAGCATCAGACCTCTAAATCCTTTGTTTATGTCAATTGGTTTCAACCTCACTTTACTCCTATAGTGGTCACAAATATCCAGCTCATCGATACCTGAATGTCTACTACGGAACAAGTGCTATTTTATTTGGCTTACAAGACTGTTGCACTGATCGGATCTCGAACTTTTGTAATCCTGAAAATCCTTCCTTAAACAAGTAGGAAGGTAATCAATTAAAACTCACTGTTTATATCTCCACATTTCCACTATCCATATCTAATTTCTATTTTTCTCGGTTTCTCTCTTCACTTCCCCTTTTCCTCAATTTTATTCACTTTCCCCTGATTTTTATTTTTTATTTTTGGGTTATTACATATGTCAATATTGTTACTAAAGCCATAAAATATATTAAATTTTTAAATAAATAATGAATGCTTAATTGTGTGTAATTGCATTAGGTATATTTTATTTTTCATCCCATTATTTAAAAATATTTTTCTTTAAAACATATAACTCATATCTTCCGGCTTCATAAAAGTCATCATACAAAATAAGTTTTTGATGTTTTCACTCACCTTTTTTTGGTTTACTTAAATGACCCCTAAGCTTTAAGTGCCCATGGGCCCCTAAATAGCCTAAAACGGCCTTGGCTTCACGAAATTTTTTTAAATTGCTTAAATTACCGTACGGGTTGAGCAGCCGACACGAACCGTCGACTGATATCACGATTAGCTGAATACCGTGGAAGCACAACACAGAGAATCTTTTCTACACAGCGACCATAGTGTAGGCCACCTACGAAATAGAACGTGGTGTATTAATGTTAAAAACGGTTTCTATCATGATTACAAAATTGGGTACCGTATTTGGCAGAATTGGGCAAAAACAAATCAAAATAAAAGCATGAATAACTAATTTAATTATGAATAAAGAATAATTTTTCATTCTGAATAATTATGGTATACTGAATAAAGAATAAAATTATTCTGAATAATTGTTTTATTCACGAATAAAACAATTATTCAGAATAAATGTATTCGTCAAAATCATGAAGGATATTAATTAAATAATGATATTAAATATAAAAGTATATTTAATTTATTTTTATCCATTATTATGCGTATTAATGTGTATTACCTTTATATATATATTATTTAAGTCTAAATAATAAGTCTATTATTATTATACATCGTTATTTAGAATTTAAATGTAATATTTATATGATTATAGGGAATAACGAATAATAATACAAGTTAAAATAATGAATAAAAATAAAAATCAATTAATAAAATTAAGAATAAATCAATGAAGAATAATTTTTTATTAAAATAATCAGTCGAAAAATATTTTATTCGACTAACATCCAACTCTGGTATTTAGTGAGAACGTATATTTGGCGAGTAGTCACAATAATCAACTTTTATTGATTAATCTGGATAATAATGGGATTTAACTTGAGATCATAACTTCCGTAAAACGCTAAAAAAAAATGACTCCGTGGGCGGGGGGAGGACATTTCCCACCATAAATACCCTTATCAGTTATCACTTATCACTATTCGGAAATCCGAGCACAGAATATTATTTAATGTATACTGTGGTCAGAATTTCAGATTATCTAGCAATTCCTATGCGTTAACAAAATATTAATAATATTTCCTACACAAAATTTAATTTTATATGTGATACATTCTGCTTGAATATGTATATGCTTGAATATATTCTGTTTGGTATTTCAAACTGTATAATTTTCAATGTTAATTACAATATTTCTAGAATTTAGTCTCGAATATAGGTGAAGCAAATAAAATAAAAATTTGTGTTTTTGAATTTAAAACTCATAAGCTTGAAATTTGTAAGTACCTATTTATTTGATTTGGTTATTTTAATTTCTGATGCATGTCATAGTTATATTTTACATTCAAACTGTGAAAGAAATATCTTAATGATTATACAATTTTATGGTAATAGATTACACTTAATGAATAATGATTTTTAATGTAAGTTGATGTTTTTAATTATGTTGTTAATTTGTAGCTATATAGATCCTTAGTTCCTTAATAGTATTCTGAGGGACTGAGTATGTTTTAACCTGTCGTTGATTGCGTTTTGGTCAAAATGGCCATACTTTTTTTTAAATCTTTAATAATTAATCATTTACATTTTATATTTCAATAATTGACACTCATGTAATATGAGTCAATAATATACAATCAATAACATTTTTAAAAGGTAGACTAAGTGTCAATAATTAAAATATATAATGTAAATGTTTTACCTAAAAAAAAAACGATCATTTTGACTATAGCGCGACTAATGCTGAATTAATTTAAAGTTAATTATAATTGTATAATAGATATTACATACATTTATATTGTTGCATTTGTTTAGGTATTAATAGATGATTGTTTTAACTTTTATAAACATGTATTCAAGTGATTAAATATTTATTGTAGGAAAAGTTTAAGGATATTTCAATTCAATAATATATAGTTATTATATAATACATGTAATTATCAAATTGAAAAATGTATAGAAGATAAAATACATATAATTCTATCATCAGTAAATTACATAGGTGTTATATTATATTGTTCTTTAGCGTTTAATATTTTAGATAAATTATCCAAAAGTTCACATATTTAATTAGTGCAAAAAATAATCAATTAATGAAATAGAAAAATATATATAATTGACTTGTAATTTTTTTTTTTTAGACAATGAGTCCTGAAAAAAAAGCGTGGATTAAACCATTTTTTGAAGATGTATCAACTGGAATTACCACACCATTAAAGAAAACCACTCATACAAAACCCATAACTATTTCAAGTGATAAAAAAAGACCTTATCCTCAAAATGAAAATAAAAATTCTGATTGGTGTAACATGTACGCTCCCCAGACTGTCTCTAAACTAGCAGTACATACTGGTAAAATAAAAGAACTAAGACTTTGGTTTGAAAGTTTAAGCAGTGAATCATCAATTAAAAGTAAATTCTTACTTGTGAGTGGGCCTACTGGATGTGCCAAAGCGACATCAGTCAAATTGATTGCCAAACAGTGTGGTTTTATGTGTTTAGAATGGGTTACCCCTATGACTAATGAACCAATTTATGATCAGTGTAGTGGTAATTATTATAATCAAAATGTACAAGACAAGTTTGAAGATTTTATTTGGGGAGCAACGAGATACCGCAGTTTGAAATGCGGTGTTTTAAAAAGTCAATTTTTATTGATTAAAGATTTCCCCAATATCTTTATTGATAAACCAGAAGAGTTTCATGATATCATGATCCGTTTTAATACAGCTTCAACATTTCCAATTGTATTTATTGTAAATAATGAAAAAATTGCAAGGGATCTATTTTCTACAGAAACTATAGAAACATTAAAAATGACACAAATCAAATTTAATCCAGTTACAAGAAAAGCAGTATTGGCAGTATTAGGACAAATAGTTAAATCTGAACAGCAAAAGAATAAACTGATAAGGATACCAAATTCTAATGAAATGAATGCTATTTATGATGAGACAAATGGTGATTTGAGAGCATCTATTATAAATTTAAGTTTCATTTGTATGAATGTTTCAAATAAAATAGTTAAAAAATGTTCGACTGCGTCAAGGGATGAGAATTTAGATCTATTTCATTCTATTGGTCGCGTTATTTATCCAAAAAGAGTACTAATTGACTCACCACTTGAATTTAAATTTGCTCATAACCCTGACAATCTAGTTGAAAATTTTGCTATGCAACCTACTACGGTTTTAGGATTCCTTCAAGAAAACTATTTATCTCGCTTTTCAAATTTGACTGATGTTTGTGAAGCAGCTGAAGCAATCAGTACTGCTGATGTAATGCTAGGCTCAGATTTTATGTTCGGTGTTTCTATTTATGATATTAGCTTAGCATCATTATCAGTGGCTGTTAGAGGATTAATGTTAGCAAACAAAAAGCCCATTAAGACATTTAGATCAATTGTTAAACCTAAACATTTCCAATACAGCAATGATATTCAAATTTATAAAGACTTAAAAAGATGGTTTAATGTTTATGAATCACCCAAAAATTTATTGTTGGATGTGATTCCATTTGTGAATGAATTAGGAACTGATCAACAGAAAATTGCTGCTAAAGAATTTTTGAATTTTAAGAGAAGATAATGACTGATACCTAGTTTATTAATGTACTAAACTGTAATTACTAATTTGTTATATAATCTTAAGTAGTAAATAATTGATAAATACTTTTATATTTGAAATAGTTGAAAGAAATGTGAATATAATGTATAATAATTACTTAAATAATTTCTATAGATGGAAAAGCTAATAAAAATTATTTTAAAATGACTTTATTTGTGTTTTTAACAAACAAAAAACAAACAACTATTTACATAAGAAATATCTAATTTTCTATGAAGAGACAAAAGAATAGTCATATCAAAAAATATATGAACTTTAAAATTATAGATAATTAATTTAATAGCCTTTTCTTCCTCGGAATCTCTGTCTGTTGTCCAGCTGAAACATAAATTGAAATATTTTATTTTAATATTATATATATCATACTGAAATATCTTATCTGTGACATCAAATTGTCATTAAACTTTTAACATTAAGCTAATTGAAATTTTAATAATAATAAATGATTTGATTAATTGTTTTGTTTCTTAAAATAAAATAATACAATGAACAAATAATTAATGTTCATTTTTTCTTTTCGTTAATTAGCTAAATATTTGTAGAATTAATTATCATAAATATTTATATAATATGTGGCTTAAAAAATTAAATTGAAATTATTGTGTAAAAATACAACAGTTGATTGCAAAACTATGTAATATTTTTATTTATTTTTTCTTAATGAGAACAGAACAATGAAAAAAAATCAATGTATCATAATATAAAATCAAAATTATTCATGGTACAGATTTAAATAAACAATAATTAATAACAGGCGCAACAAGGGGGGTTAAGCCCCTCCATAAATATTCTATGGCATACAGCATACTTAACTCACAATAGTGTCACATACAAAAAAGGACACATTGCAGTAAATTCAATTTGGCTCAGAATCTAAAATATATTTACATGATATATAAGAGTAGGAGTAATTTACAGGTTATTTTAAATTTTGCTAAGAGGGCTGTAGCCCCCCAGATTTTTAACTCTAGTTGTGTCTATGAATTAATAATTGTTCATCTTAAAAATTTGACATTATTCACAGTAAACATTTAAATAGTTAAACATATATTTAACTAACTTATAAAAGTAAATAATATGTTGTACCTACATTATATTACTGTACTTAATACAATCTTACAATAAATCCAAGACTTTACCAAAATAATTTGTTAGGGGACCTAAAAGATCTTACACTATCATACATTTTTTAATAAAAGCTGCTTAAAGTTATGATAGTTAAAACAAAATTCATTATAACAATTTGAAGTACAATATCAGCTAGATTTTGTTAAATACATTATTGCAATTCTAATACATACCAACAACGATAAATCAATAGTAAAAAGTGCTTTATATGGAATATAATTTTAATTAACAAACACTTACAAGTGATCTTTTGCATTCAAAAAATGTATTTTGAAGCGCCAAACATTCTGGAGGACAATTTCTCTCTCTCAAGCATTCTTTTGGCGTCTTCTTTTCCTAAAAATTGTTAAACAGATACATGTTACATTCATACGTTAAATTTGCTACGACTTTCATTTTCCAGTAGTGAAAATAATTATTCACAAATGATTTACAATTTTACAACAATTGGATTCCAACAAACACATTTTGAGATCAGCTCTTACGCCCGAACAAGGTCTATGATCTGCAAGAGTACCACCTTCCTCATAACGCATCATATTTATATACAGACAATTGAAAATCTAAACCACGGTGACAAGTGAATAATGGTGTATTACTGAAATTACTGGACAAAGGATAATGTGATTTTATATTTAACGAGCAACAGTAATAATGATTTATTAATGCGTACTTCGGCGCTTTGTTTATCATTCGTTTTAAGATAACTAATAGCGAAATTCTGTTATCAGCACGGTTGTAAATATATAACCGTGATACGATCATTTATCTATGCATTATACTTTACATTTGTAAGTATTCTTTATCTACATGATACGCCGTGAAAATAAGCATCACTGTGGTTTTAACGAAAAGTTTCGTACTTATAATTCGTTTTCTTCTACTACATACGGATATTATTTTAGGAATGTATTACCGTTCAATGTTTATTAATTATGATTTATTCGTAGAGAATATATTGTAGAATAAGTGGATTGGCCAATTTGTTTCGTTGTTGTACAAGAATAATATAAATTTCTATAATTTAGAATTCATGGTGTGCACCAATCGATTGTTTGATATATAATTTACTTATAAAAAAAAAGTTTATACCTATTTGGTATTTAAACTAAAACTGAAGCAAACAAGTTTAAATTAGGATGTATTTTCTCTTTTTATTATGTCTTAGGATAAAGAAATATTTAAATTTATAAACTAAAAGAACCTATCAACAGTCAAGGAGCGGCAAATCAAAGTTACTAAAACTACATAACAACACAAGATCAAAATAAAATTTGGTTTTTAATACCATACATTACAACTTTTTTTTTTTTAGTATTCAATCTGTAGATCGAGATTGGTCTACAATAAATGTTCCCTCCACGATTCTCAGACTTATGCTTTATCATTGAGCTATTTGTTTGAATCGACTCGTGCATCTTTGATTATATGACTTATATAAGACGTTCTTGGCCTGTCTTTTCCGCGTTTCCCTTCTATCATACCTTCCAGTATGATATGATGCTATGAAGTTCTTCGTAGTGTTTCAACGTATGACCTATCATATGCCATCACCTTGATCTTAAATTGCTTATCAATGTTCTATTCTTTTTGATTAAATACTTCTTCGTTTGTCTTCCTTTCCGTCCATTTTATTTTCTTCATTTTTCGCCAGTGCTACATTTATAAAGCTTCTATAGTCATCTTTTTTGTTCAACGTCCATGTTTCACTGCCATATAATGCTGTACTCCATACATATGTTTTAATTAAACGTTTTCTTGTTCTTAGATCTACATTTGTTGTTGTTAGTAATTTACTTTTAAGCAAGAATGCCTTTTTTGCTTGCCCTTTTCTACTTTTTATTTCTTTTTTTTTTTTAATTTTCCATCATTAATTATTATGTTGCACAAATATTTAAATTAATTTACTTGTTCTATTCTGTTTTTTTTAAGGTATATATTAATGTTAATGTTTGGTAAATTTTGTTTACTGCATACCATTACTTTTGTTTTTTCCGTATTTATATACCTACATAATAATGTAAAACTTAAATCTTGGTTCAGGTAGTATATATGTTATGTATGTGACTTATATATATTTTTATTTATATTTTATTTATTTTTTTATTAAAATAACGCGTGTAGAGGTCCAGAATTATCTATATCCTAACATATATTTTATAAATATGCTTTAAAAAGGTTAACAGAAACTAAAACAAATAATACAATGTACAATATTAAGGGACAAAAAAAAAAAAAAAAAAATAGGATAAAAATTAAATATGATATATGTATGGAAGTATATAAATCTCACGTATTAGCAGCGTCATACTCATACATTAGTCAACGTAAAATTTACATTTTGAATAATGGTAGTTGTATATTTATTAAGTTGCCGGACATAGAGTTGTAAACACTTAGGCATTATAACAACATTGAAAACCTTTCGACAGATAGTTAGTTCTTTGACCAGATTTGGAAATATTTGTTTAATGTTTAAGTACCTGGTATTGACACTAAAGTTTACAGGATAAAATAGTTTTTTTGGTATACAGTACTTATTTTGAAACATGTATCTTTAATATTCAGAACGTTGATCTCTTTAAATAAAATATTAGTTGGATATCAGTAGTTTTTTTTTCATAATGATCTTTATCAGAGCATTTTGAACACTTTGTAATTAATTGAGAATATTAACGTAGACTCCACCTCGACATATTATATCGTATGTGATGTGAGATTTAACAAATGCGATGTAATTTAATCTAATATATTTAACAGGTTGAATGTCCCGTATTTGTTTAATAATATAATTAATTTTTTCTATTTATTACACACTGACTGAGATTTGATTTTTCTATTTCATACCATGGCACATTTCTATTCATAGATATATAAAGCACTGGCGTAGTCAAGACTTATACTTTTTTGTTTGGGAAGAGCTTAACACTTTTTTAAGCAGGTAATAGAGGATTTGAAAATTCATCCTTCAGCCCCTACTCACCACCAAGTGTATAAAAGTATTTCTAGCGTTCTATAATAGTTTTTGTAACATTTATTAAAATATAATTTATAATAATAATAAATTAAAATTATCGGTAATAATCGTGAAAATGATGACGTAAGTATTTCATAAATGATTCTATAACTTTAAATATTTATAAACTAAATATGATTATGTTGAATTTTCTGAATTTTTAATTTTAATTGAAGGTAAAACAATTTAAAATTAACCTTA